CACACACACTCACACACACACACACTGTATATATATATATATATATAATATGTTTTACTGTGGTTGGTATCATTCTACGTGCGCTGCGAGTATATTTTATTAAATTGCATGCTGCATGGATATTTATTTGTATGTACGTCAGAATTGTCAAAGTCATGAATGGCACCATATCGGTGTCGATGTATATAAAACCATATCTGCAAAGTACATTTATAACAATCGATAATCATATTGTATCTGTAGTAAAGTCATAAGTTCATACTGTGGTGGTCGCCTGCAATCATGTCCAGTGTACTTTGATCTCCATTTTGAGGGTGAATAACCGATGTTATGCCGGAGCGACGCTGAAATCACATTAAATGCTCCTTGTGTGGCCTGTGAATAAATATATAATTTGATGTCATGCTACAGATCTATACATTCTAAGGCTCTTGCTACGGACGAGTGTCGATTCTACCAAGGTATAATACCAGAACCTGATTCGCGGGGTTTCGTATGCACTCATCATTCCCAAATATATCTCCACCTATAGGAGTTTTCTTCCCCACCATGCTGTCGTTGCTTCTTCCCATGCGGCCTGGTATGCAGCAAGTGTACACCGGGGTGTTCGGGGCCTTGGCATCGTGCATGGCACCGGCTGTGTATTGGTCAATACACTATCTGTGGCCACATCATGCGTATTGGATGCCTGTCCTGATGTGCTTTTGGATCTACATAGCTAACTTATGGATGGACCGGTGTGTGTGTGTAATTTCGGGTGTAATTTCGAGTGTAGTTGTCTGTATTTACGTTTGTATGTGTAAATAATTTTTTGCCGTGTGTGGTGTGTGTAAGTATGTATGTATGTATGTATGTATTTGTGTATGTGTGTGTGTGTGTGTATGTGTTTGTGTGTGTGTGTGTGTGTTTGTTGTTTTTGTTTATGTGTCTGTATAATTTGTATGTGACCACATTGAAGGATTGCTGTCAAAAAGTGCCTTGTGGAAGAGCTGGTTGCAGCAATGGCTCACAGTACCCATGCGATCAATCTGTTTGTATATATGATACATCACCAGTATCGCCTGCCGCTGCATATAGCGACACTGGTGGACTGTCACCTATCGCCATATGGAAAGTTTCTTTGGCACATTCTGCACAGCGTTCGACGAGAACTTCTGAGAATCGTACTCTGTGCTACCTACCTACACTATTGAGAATCATCAGCCGCCGACGATCGATTTTACAAACTACACCGGTCATTCCCGCTTTATGCTCACGTGCATTTAGCAAACCACAGGCGGAGTTAAACAGACAGCTCACGCATGAAATTTGGGATTTGTTGGAGTATTTATATCTGTATTCCTACATCTAAATCATCATGATCACATGGCTCTCTACAGATTCCTCGCTTCAGCCATGCAGCTTAAAATGATGGTCAGTCCCCAACTGGTATTTTTACCTCTCATTATAGGCGTAGAACCTTATGCAGGTATGCTCCTCCTAGGTGCGCACACTCCAACGAGCATGACAGTTGTTTGTCGCACTATATCTTCTTCTGGTTGCTGTCTTAGCCCTGGTTCTACTTATTTTCTTGACATAAAAGCTTGCGGATGGGATATGTTTCCTCGTTAGCTCACGTGTAAGCTGCACATCATCTTTGCAAGCGATAGAACCAGATGATGTTTCAGTCTGGATCTTGATTCGTTTCTGTGGTTGTGAAGCTCATGTTGTGTTCCAGCGGTTTCAGCGTCGGTTTATCACCCACATTCATTCCGAAGTCTATTTGAACTAAACTTGGACATTCAAGTTAGCTTGTTGTTAATATAAATTGTATTTGAATTGTCCAGTTTAAGCAAATAGAACAATACTTGCTTTGCGTTTATCGCGTACCTCGTACCTATGTCGCATCCGAGCGTATTATCCACGAGATATGTGCTAGTCACCAATAGAAAAAGTTGATCAAAACATCACGACCAAACTACAAATCGTAGGTACAAAAACTTGATTGTGCAATGTATGTTCACATGTCGATAAGTACAAATCATATAGAACACACTCAGCTGAATTTGCAAGTGTATGTCCGCGTGTCTACAACCCCGGCTGCACTAGCTACGAATCATATAAAATGCACTCAGATGATGATGGAAGTGTATGCCCATGAGTGTATAATCCTGGCTACGCTAACTACGAATCATATAGAATATACTCAGCTGATTATGCAAGTGTATGCCCACGTAGCTTTAACCCCGGCTGCACTAGCTACGTATCATATGAAATGCACGCAGATGATTATGCAAGTGTATGCCCATGAGTCTATAATCCTGGTTACGCTAACTACGAATCATATAGAATATACTCAGCTGATTGTGTAAGAGTATGCCCACGTTTCTACAAGCACGGCTGCACAAACTACGAATCGTATAGAATACACTCAGCTGATCTTGTAAGAGTATGCTCACGTGTCTATAATCCCGGCTGTACCACCCGCGGCTTATAGTATACATGTTTTTGAGTTTATGAAGTCTGCTCGATACCACATACGAAGAACAATATGTTTTGTAAACGTGTTTATCATCCCGGCTGCACTGATTACTATCTCTGGGATACGAAAAGATGCATTATTCTACTAACAATTCTATGCTACGATTGCACTGATACCTTTTCTAGGATACAATGTGGCGACCATGAAGGATTCAGTATACTTTGGTGCGATGGCGGGTGTACTGGTAGCGATAGTCGGGTACCTCCATGTCCTCTTCGACCCTCTACAGCGTTACTCGCGTACAAAAGAAACCTCTGGCTTTGTTAAACAGGTAGTTGTCTGAGCATACGTTATGGTGACTATGGGTGGCGGTGGAGATAAAGTGGTTGGCTTCTGCGCGCCCGTGTGATGCGATGAGTCCTGCTGAAAGCTCTGCGATGTGTGTTTGTGTTCCACTTTTCCCACGCATTGGATCGATGCTTGTATATATGTGTTTGAAGCTAAAATGTTGCACAGCCGTAGGTCTTTCAGTTGTGGGTCGTTTCGTTGTCATATCGTAGTATACTAAGGGTGTCAGCTGTAGGATGCACGGCGCATTTGTAGGGTTCGTGGGATGGTTTGTATGCGTATGGGCCACGTTGACCTACCTTTAGTGCGACAGACGTAGTCTTAGTACAGATATTCAGATAGATAGTCTGCTCCACCCTGAACTATTACCATATCTGACATAGGCCAAGATAAGCCCCGAGTATCAACATTTCATATCTATTCTGATATTTAGTTGAGACAGCGGTACTAAATGTTTAAAGTCTCGCTGTCAATCCAAGTAGGACAAAATATTGACCCTTGCCTTATCGGTCATTTGGGGCTAGGCATCCCATTTGTGAGAGGTATTGGGCCTCCCCCACTTCGTTCATGTGTTCATTGCTACATGTCGCACAGTCTTGGACGATGGGGATGTAGAACTCTGGTCTCCTTGAGAGTCTGTCTATTGAAGTCATGGAATAGCATGTATGCGAAAGAACCTTCGGGAAAGTACCTAGCAAGTCGTGTGCATGGGCTGTGTAGTACATTGGAACACCCAGGCCTCCAAATCGATACTACACACTGTACCGCTACGGTTCTTCTAGCAAGTGCATCGTAAAACCCAATACGTTTAACATATTACTGATATACTTCATTAATGCGATAATTGCACCGCAACTGCCCTCTCAGCTACACTCCACCTTGCGCGAAGCGGCTGTACTGATGTACCTGTGCAACGACCAGAAGGCCCGTGAAAATATTGAGCGCAACTTACCGGACGAAACCCATCGCATAGCCGCCTATGCAAAGGAGTTCGACTATGCTGATGGACAGGTGACCCAGTTGAGGAGCGTGGCTGTGGATCGGTTCGCAGTCTTAGCTCAAGGTTTGTGCGGCACATATGAGAAGTAAATGTAGATGTACTTGTGCGTGTGTATCGACGACTTGTGGGCTTACCATTCAGTGTGTATATAGTGTTCGTTGCGCACTGTGCGAATACATAAAATCGCGATGTTCACGCCTATCAGAGTGTTGATTCACCAGTTGATCAGAGTCTTGATAACCGTGTTCTTGGGAGCAAATGTACTCTACAGTGGTTTTGCGTCAGTGTAGTGGGCGAACAAAACTCACTGCCCCTTATCCATACGGGATGGTTTCTACGTATACCATACACATACAATCTGTTGCCACATACGCTCCTGCATGTAGATCCGTGCATGGCATTGCACTCATTGATTGGAGCCTCACACCAGTGTGGTCACTGTCATCGATGGTGCTGTGCACTTTGGCTGAGTTTCCACGTGCAATCTCTCAGGTGACAGTTGGGTCTCTCACCTTACCAAAAGCGTCCCATACCTTCACACTTAGCGAATAAACCTGCATTTCAATGTACTCTCGACCGCTGGCGGGGAATATGTATAGGTTCTAGTGGCGGATATGTCCCTATCCTTTCTTCTCCAGACTCGACGTCAAAGGCTCACTCCTTGAACTAAAGCTGTTTTACAATGTTTGCATCCCTCCCCTAGAATTCGTGGGTATCAGGTTTTGGCGCTGGGCTCATTTATACAACCATTTGGTAAGCCTCTGGGCAACCTGGCACACCTGCGATACCTGTGCAAACAGTTGGAAGGTGAGTTGAGTGTGACTCATACGCAAGCTGCATGGTATAATCCAAGTAGTTGAGGATTGCGATATATTTAAAGGGCGAGCGTTGTGTGGATTTGGGGTAAGGGTCGATTGCCAGGTATACTACAAACTGCACATTTGCATACAATCACCGTATTGAAAGACGCTGAGATTTTTGACTTTATATGAAAAAAACTTCAATTAGATAAAAGGCACCTCATTCTGTTTAATGTGCTTGTAGTCACAATTCTTTTCACGCACTTTCTGTTGAAATCAGGAACCATCTTGCCACATACTGATAAAAATGCGACACTCGCTCGAAAAAAGCATATATATATTT